CTCAACCAAAAGGAAAAAAAGTGAACGTATGTCTACTAGTATCAGACAAAATAAAGCAAGAGGCATTGATAAAGATAAAAAGATATTTTTAATTTAATGAAAAGTCATCACCCCTAGAACCTGTAACATTTGAAAATGTCTATGCATCCATCTCACAACATACCCTCAGAATCTATAAAGAAAAATTGACGGAATACAATGAAAATGAGATCATTCTACACTCATAACAGAGGATTTGAATACACTACTCTCAGTAATTGATAATGTGAGCAGACAGAAACTATCAATAAGTACGTGAAAGGTTTGATCAACACTACAGTCAAACTTGACTGAATTGAAACTGCTTCGATAACTGAAGAATGCATATTATTTTTAAGTCCTTGGAAACATTTGTCAAAACTGCCCATGGGCTGGGTTACAAAGATTTAACAAATTTCAGTAAGTATAGACTTTCATGAAGGTGAAGATAAATATGTAATGCCAAAAAAATCACTAAAATCAAAAGTCATGTGTGGACTATTACTTGATTAGTCCCAGCTACTCAAGAGGCAGAGGCAGGAGGATCACTTGAGTTCAGGAGTTTGAGGCCAGCCTGGGAAACATAGTGAGACCCCAACTCAAAGAAGATAAACAAACAAATCCCAAAGTTGGTTCTATAAGAACACAAATGGATGGGAACTGAAATGGAGCCAACAAGGTTATAGGTAGTTATGAATATGTCATAATGAGCCCCACTATTATGTATAACTATGATATACTGATAAAGGCATTTTAAAAAATAACACAAGTAGAATTGATAAATCATTGGTAATAATGTTTAGGGAGAAAATAAGAGAAAGCACAAAATTCCAATATAAGAAAGGACAAGAGAGATATTTTTACTGATTTTGTAAACATTAAAAATTGACATTTTTAAATCAATGGAAATGATAAAATATTTAACAATTTCAAAAACAGATAAAATTGATATATTTTCAGGAAATTATCATGTCCAAGCTAAGAAACAGAATTTATGACTTAAGACTTTCTCACAAAGAAAATCATAAAATTAAAGGGCCTTGCTGGATTTCTTATTTAACTGACTTTTTTGGACAGGAACAACACAATCCAGGAGACAATGGAATAGTGTCTTTAAGTACTGAGATAAACAAAGAATGGAATACACTAGTGTAACTCCACATCACACACAACCACAAGAATAGGAAGTTATACTCCATAAATATATAATATATTAAAATACATACTACTGTCATATGTAACTGAAAAGAACATTAAAAAAAGAATGGAATACAAATTCCATAAGTACAAACTAGTAAATAAATAAATAAAGAGAGATGCCATAACCACTTTATTATGTAAGAATAGAAAAATTAGAGATATTACAAGAAACAAGAATTTGTCTTATGATATAAAGGGAAAAAAATCCTAAACAAAATTTAGCAAACTAAATACAGGTTGTAGTTTCAAGACGAAGTTGTATTTATCGCAGGAATAGAAGGTTGATATAATGTTTGAAAATAAAATTAATATGATTTCCTATACCAACAAAGAAAAAAGGGATTAAAAAAGCCTACAATATCCACTCATAATTTTAAAAATGCATCTCTTAGTGACCTAGGAATAACTTCCTGCCCCTAATAAATATTATCTATGAAAAACTTATGCAAAATACGCTTAATGACGAAAAGCAGAAAAAATTTCTGAGATTGAAGTCAAGAGAAGGATGGCCACTATCACTATAAAATAATCCATTGAATAAAACAGGAATAAACAAGTCTATGCTAATATTTAACAAAAAATAAGAAGGGAAATTACATACAGAGCTAAGAACTAAGAAATAGAATTAACTAATCATTTGGCAGCTAACATACTGGTTGTTGGGACAAAAAGAAGTTATGCAGAGCTACCAAGGTAGCTGAGTATGGATGTAATGAGGGACAATACTGTGTCATTGGTGGGGACATGTTCTGTGATAGCTTTTTTGATGTGTTGAGCTACCGTGGCTGATTATTCAAACACTGATCCAGGTCTTACTGTGAAGAGATTTCTGTGTACATAATCTAAGTCCTTACTTACTTGACTTTAAGGATATTACTTTGTATACAATCTGGATGGCATGATTTCAACAATAGGAAAGCTTTCAAAGTAGTGCTGAATAGACAGCAGAGGTAGAGAAGAATAGGTTCCACCCTGGACTACAATTTCAGCCCCTGGAGGGACTCAGCCTACCTTTGATCTTCCTTTTCTGGTTGCCTGCCTGGATTTTGGATTGATTCAACCAGGCCCCACAATCTGATCCTTCTACTGATAGTTCTTTAAGATAGGAAGGAAAAGAAAGGCTGAGAAAATATTTTGCATCTGTTTTGGTGTGGATGTGAGGAGTCCCCCAAAAGCTCACATGTGAGACAATGCAAGAAGGTTCAGAGGAGAAATGATTGGGTTGTGAGAGTCTTAACCCAGTCAGTGAATTAATCCCCTACTAGGGATTAACTGAGTAGTAACTAAGTGATAGAGTGAATGTGGTTGGAGGAGGTGGGAATTAGGGTGTGGCTTTGGGGTACATGTTTGTATGTGGCAAGAGGAGACCCCTCCCTCCCTCTCTCTCTCTCTCCCTCCCTCCCCTTTCTGACCCTCATGTGAACTGCTTCTCTCTGCCATACTATTCTGCCATGATGTTCAACCTCATCTTGAGCCCTGTGGAATGGACCTGGCTGTCTGTGGGCTGAGACCTCTGAAATTGTTAAGCTTCCCAATAAACTTTTCCTCCTCTACACTTGCTCTAGTGGGATCTTTTAGTCATTGCAGAGATAAAGCTGTTTGAAACAGTATTAAAGGATATGGATGGAACATGATAATAGAAAGTGGCATGACTCCTGGGTGGCATCCTGGATGAGACAGGAAAACCCCACTATTGGCATTTGGAACAGAGCGATTAATGGCACAATTATATTGAGGCTGAATTTCACTTGGTAGGGTTCTGTGGATACAATGCAGGAGAGAGTCACAGAGGGCGACATTGAAGTTGTTAGGAAAAATGAGGCAACATGTCAGAAAAAGTATATAAAAAGGAAGAGAGTAATGGAGTTCAAAGCAATGTTTTTCAATAGAGGAATTTGGGTGAAGAGGATAAGAATTTTCTTTTTATTCTTTTTACCACTTTTCCTTGGGCTTGAAACTGTTTCGGAACGATAATTTAGATGAGGTTAGAGCCTTCAAGATCCACTTTCCAAAAGCCCCACCTCTAAACATTGCTGCACTGGGGACAAAGCCTTCAACACATGAGCCTTTGGGGAATATTCCAGATCCAAACCATAGGAATGGAATTGTAAATCAATCAATGTGCTCACTTTGGAAATCTGTCTGGCAGTCTTTATTAGAGCTGAACATAAACATCTCTGTGACCTACTAATTTCTACCCTTGGTATTTCCTCAGCAGGAAAGCATACACTGTGTCCCAAAAGAGATATAGAAGAATATTAAAAAGAACATTAATCAAAATACTCCTTAATTAAAAACAAAAATGCCTGTAAACAATAGAATGGAAAAAACAAATTGTGGACTACTTATATAAATGGCTATTTTATAGCAATGAACTTGAACAAAATCCTGCACTGGTAGTAATATAATCTCACAATGTTGTATGGAGTAATTCAGACATGGATGTCTACACACTGCATAAATCAATTTATATAAAATTTAATGATAAATTAAAAATAATCTATGAATTAGAAAGCAACATGGGGAGACATTTGGTGGAGCAGGCTGATAATGAATAGGAATAGGACTCTTTTGCCTGGAATATTTCACCAATGTGTTCGGTTATGACTTAGACTCTTTTGGTATATATACATTATAAAACAATAATTTACTTTTTAAAATTTGGCAGGCCTAGCCAATTCACAGATTCCTCAAGAACAATAAGTTCACATCCCTCCTCTCCTTTTTGACTTCAGTGGTTTATGATTCGTCTAGGTACTGTCCCTGTTTCTGCTAAAGCTTCAGTTAAAGCTCTTGGCTTTTTTTTTCTGTTATCAGAAACCAGTAAGTCGGAAGGGTTCTTGTTCTTTAACTCTAGCTTTTGTTTTGCAGTCCACTGAAAACTAGGCTCTTCTATTTCCTTGAACAGCTTGTGTGAAAAGACTTTGGATCTTCTTAATTCTAGACGGAGTTATTGTGCAGTATGTCAGGCAGCAGCCTGACGACTTCATCAGCCTCCACTGTTGGTATGTCTGGGCATTGATAAGCTGAAACACATAGTGTCTTCTGAGTTTTTCTCCTCTATATTACAATCATGGCATCCCATTAAGTTGTGTGTGAAATTGTGTGAGGTAGGTTACATTTTCTATGAAGTCAATTATAGATTAACAAAGGCTGTATTATACCATATTTTTCTCCCTTAAAACAGGCCTTGGATCTGAATAAGGCTGAGAACACCTGGTCCAGGGAATACAAACCCTGGATACATGGGTCTGGACAAGGGAGACAGAGGGAAGAAAAATCGACTTGCTCAATCCCACCTTCCAGGCCTTCTTACATCCCAGACTCTCCCACCTGGGGGTAGAGTGAACTTCTTTGAAGCCCCTTGAACTGAGTACTAATAAGTTGATCTGTTGTTTACTAGCTGTCTGGTCTTTTGAAAGTTACTTAAGCTACCTAAGCCTTGGTCTGTCTATAAAATGGCACCACTCATTTCTTTCTTCCTCTGGCTGCCTTGAGAATTGAGGAGTTAACTCAGGGCCAAAGCTGGCACAACAGATGAGTGACCTATAATTGTCACTTAACCAATGTTAATGCACTTCCCGTCTTCCACCCCTGTGCCAGGCCTGTAACACCTCTAAGGGTCTCTTCATGCAAATAATAATAATAAAAACATGCTTCCTCCTGTCCCTACCCGGACTAGGCTCCTTGGGGAATCCTGTGTATGTGCCACCTCTTTCCAATTAGACCCCAATACTGAAGGGATGAATTTTCATAAATGTACTAGACAAAAATGAGATTACCATGACCAAATTTCCAACCAAATGGCGGGCTGGCCTGTAGCAGGGTTCTGAATATCACATTCCCAGGTAGCTCCTCTAACAGAGAACTTGTTGATTTCTGAGGTCTGGACAAGAAAAGTTCATCTGGGAGATTTTCAAGAAGTGTAGCTCTCTCATACTCTATCTCCATGAGTTCTCACCCTCCTGGGCAGACTTTAACCATGAAAATGAGTGTGTGTCACACTGGCTGCTCCTAGCCCCACCCTGGAAGTTCCCCTTCCAGGCATTGTGACATGGCTTTCTACATGGCAGCCCTGTGGTATAAAGGGAGCTGGAAAGGCAAGTTATTTATCCCTGTAAAATCTTGTTTCTTTACTCTGCAGCAGAGGGACCATATTCACCATGTAGGAGATGGCTTATTAAGTTCCTTGTCCACGGCTTGGAATACTCAGCTGGCTAATTCCTAACTACCTTCAAACAGTCATTCCTGTAGTCGTTCAGTAAGTATTTATTAAACTCTTAATGATGTGCCAGGCACTACTGTGGGACATTGCATTAGACAGTGGGAATCCACCGGTGAACAGCCATTCTTGTCCTTGTGGAGCTTAATTTTGGTGGGAGATATAGACAGACAGACACACAGACACACGCACACACACACACACACACACACACACACACACACACACAGTATGTCAGGTAGTGACAAGTGTTCAGAAGGACAAAGTAAGCACAGCAGGGAGAGAACAATAAAGGGCATTTCAGTCTTAGGTTGAGAAACCAGCAAAATCCTCACTGAGAAGGTAACTTCAAGGGAGGTTTGAAAGAAGTTTGAGAGAGAGTCAAATGAAAACCTGAGGAAAGAGTGTTCTAGCTTATGCAAAAGGCCCTGAGGTGGTAAGTTAACTGCAATACTTAAGAAACAGCAAAGAAGTGACTCAGTTGAAATAAAGTGAGAGAGAATTGCAGGGGATGATGTCAGATCCGTCATGGTGGCTAGATCATACTCATCTTCTTCTTGCACACAGTAGATTTACACAGAGTCATTTGTTTAAACCAGAATTGTTTTGTAAAATAGGAGGAAAATAAGAGGATTTAGTTTTCAGTCCTCATTCTATAAATTGTGGGGGAATGATGTTACTAGGAAAGGTGTTCATGTGGAAGCACATGGCTACTATGTTGTTTAAAGATGCTCCTCCAAGGTAACAGCTGCATTCCTGTCCTGGTTCACAAGGCCACAGCCCCCAAGTCCTCTGAACCCTCTCAGTGCCATTTGGCTTATTAGCGACCTAAACAGGAAATTCCTTCTAAAATGGCTTGCACAAATTCCTATGCTCTATTTTCTGACAAATTTCACTTTTTGAATAGAAATGTCATTCTTTTAATAACAATACACACTCTTACCCATTTTCCCCTTCACCTGCGCTGTGTCTTTTGGTTTCCAAGGCTTGTTGCATAAGCCTCAGGATTAATCCATCCTCTAGTCACCACGAGGGCTATATTCCACCTTCCAGCCCCCGCTCACGAATGATGAATGAAGATCATGTCACCACTGTTCCTACTATCACCTTCCAGTGGCTTCCCAGCTGACTGACAACAAAGCCACACTCCTAACCGTGTTCCGAGACCTTTGCATGATTTGATTCCTGCCCATTTCCTCCCTGTGCATGCACACTATCTCACGGTAACTCCGTCTTCTTTTATCTCAGATGCCAAGGACTCTGCCCTTGCTGGTCCTCTGCCTGAAAAGCACTTTTCTCAGATCTCAAAATGGGGGGCTCTCCTTGCTGGACAAGGTCATCTCATACAGGTCCTCCCCAGAGGGTCCATCTGGGACTTCCTGAACCAAAGTAGTGTCTTCCCCTGGGCACTTTGCGGCAGTTTTATCTTAACTGGTTTCCCTGTTTAATTTTTGTCTAGCACTGCCACTAGCAAAATCTAATTCCCACGGAAGGGGAGTTTTTATTTTTTCTACCACTGTGGCTTCAATGCCTAGAAGGACACCCGGCACATAATAAAAACGGCTGTGAGTTCATATTGTTGTTCCAAGATGCTCCTCCAAGGCAACAGCTGCATTCCTGTCCTTTCCTCACCAGGCCATATCCCCCACGTCCTCTGAACCCTCTCAGTGCTATCTGGCTTATTAGTGATGTGTGTGTGTGTGTGTGTGTGTGTGTGTGTGTGTGTGTCTGTCTGTCTGTCTGTCTGTCTGTCTGTCTATATCTCCCACCAAAATTAAGCTCCACAAGGACAAGAAAGGCTGTTCACCGGTGGATTCCCACTGTCTAATGCAATGTCCCACAGTAGTGCCTGGCACATTATTAAGAGTTTAATAAGTACTGATTGAAGGACTACAGGAATGACTGTTTGAAGGTAGTTAGGAATTAGCCAGCTGAGTATTCCAAGCCAGGGACAAGGAACTTAATAGGCCATCTCCTACATGGTGAATATGGTCCCTCTGCTGCAGAGTAAAGAAACAAGATTTTACAGGGATAAATAACTTGCCTTTCCAGCTCCCTTTATACCACAGGGCTGCCATGTAGAAAGCCATGTCACAATGCCTGGAAGGGGAACTTCCAGGGTGGGGCTGTTGCCTAGCAGCCAGTGTGACACACACTCATTTTCATGGTTAAAGTCTGCCCAGGAGGGTGAGAACTCATGGAGATAGAGTATGACAGAGACACGCTTCCTGAAAATCTCTCAGATGATTTTTTCTTTTCCAGACCTCGGAAATCAACAAATTTTAAGTTAGAGGAGCAACCTGGGAGTGTGATATTCAAATCCCTGCTACAGGCCATCCCGCCATTCGGTTGGAAATTTGGTCATGGTAATCTCATTTTTGTCTAGTACATTTATGAAAATTCATCCCTTCAGTATTGGGGTCTAATTGGAAAGAGGTGGCACATACACAGGATTCCCCAAGGAGCCTAGTCCGGGTAGGGACAGGAGGAAGCATGTTTTTATTATTATTATTTGCATGAAGAGACCCTTAGAGGTGTTACAGGCCTGGCACAGGGGTGGAAGACGGGAAGTGCATTAACATTGGTTAAGTGACAATTATAGGTCAATCATCTGTTGTGCCAGCTTTGGCCCAGAGTTAACTCCTCAATTCTCAAGGCAGCCAGAGGAAGAAAGAAATGAGTGGTGCCATTTTATAGACAGACCAAGGCTTAGGTAGCTTAAGTAACTTTCAAAAGACCAGACAGCTAATAAACAACAGATCAACTTAGTAGTACTCAATTCAAGGGGCTTCAAAGAAGTTCACTCTACCCCCAGGTGGGAGAGTCTGGGATGTAAGAAGGTCTGGAAGGTGGGATTGAGCAAGTCGATTTTTCTTCCCTCTGTCTCCCTTGTCCAGACCCACTTATCCAGGGTTTGTATTCCCTGGACCAGGTGTTCTCAGCCTTATTCAGATCCAAGGCCTGTTTTAAGGGGGAAAAATATGGTATAATACAGCCTTTGTTAATCTATAATTGACTTCATAGAGAATGTAAACTACCTCACACAATTTCACACACAACTCAATGGGATGCCATGATTGTAATATAGAGGAGAAAAACTCAGAAGACACTATGTGTTTCAGCTTATCAATGCCCAGAAATACCAACTGTGGAGGACAGTGAAGTCGTCAGGCTGCTGCCTGACATACTGCACAATGACTACGTCTAGAATTAAGAAGATCCAAAGTCATTTCACACAAGCTGTTCAAGGAAATAGAAGAGCCTAGTTTTCAGTGGACTGCAAAACAAAAGCTAGAGTTAAAGAACAAGAACCCTTCGACTTACTAGTTTCTGATAACAGAAAAAAAATCCAACAGCTTTAACTGAAGCTTTAGCAGAAACAGGGACAGTACCTAGACAAATCATAAACCACTGAAGTCAAAAAGGAGAGAAGGGATGTGAACTTATTGTTCTTGAGGAATCTGTGAATTGGCTAGGCCTGCCAAATTTTAAAAAATAAATTATTTTATTGTTTTATATTTATCTACCAAAAGGGTCTAAATCATAACTGAACACATTGGTGAAATATTCCAGGCAAAAGACTCCTACTCGTATTATCAGCCTGCTCCACCAAATGTCTCCCCATATATCTTTAGATTTTATATAAATTGATTTATGCAGTGTGTAGATGTCCATGTCTGAATTACTACTCCATACAACATTGTGAGATTATATTACTGCCTGTGCAGGATTTTGTTCAAGTTCATTGCTATAAAATAGTCATTTATATAAGTAGTCCACAATTTGTTCTTTCTATTCTATTGTTTATAGGCATTTTTATTTCCAATTTCTTCATCAGTTTTTGCCTCAGCCTCTTGAGTAGCTGGGACTGCTCAAGTAATAGTCCACACTTGACACTTGATTTTTATGATTTTTTTTCATCGTATATTTATTTTCACCTTCGTAAAGGTCTATATTTGCTAAAATTCATTCAATTTCATTATCTGCCATTATCTCTTCAACTCTTGCATCTACCACACACTCTGTCTCCATCCCTTATGGAATTCCAAATAAAAATGTATCCAAACTTTTCATTACTCATCGTACTATCAATGTACTTACTATCTCTTACACTATTTTATGTATTTTCTACCCTTTTGCTTCTCCAAGCTTCAGTGTGGATACTTTCGTCAGATCCATTTTCCATTTCATTTATTTTTTTTAATTGATTTTATTTTTTAAATACATGAGAGCAGAATGCATTACAATTCTTATTACACATTAGAGCACAATTTTTCATAAGTAGGTTCACGCCAATTCGTGTCTTCATATATGTACTTTGGATAATGATGTACATCACATTCCACCATCATTGCTAAGCCTGCCCCCTTCCTTCCCCTCCCACCCCTCTGCCCTATCTAGAGTTCATCTATTCCTCCCATGCTCCCTCTCCCTATCCCACTATGAATCAGCCTCCTTATATCAGAGAAAACATTTGGCATTTGGTTTTTTGGGATTGGCTAACTTCACTTAGCATTATCTTCTCTAACTCCATCCATTTACCTGCAAATGCCATGATTTTATTCTCTTTTAATGCTGAATAATATTCCATTGTATATATACTCCACATTTTCTTTATCTATTCATTTTACTGAAGGGCGTCTAGTTTGGTTCCACAGTTTAGCTATTGTGAATTGTGCTGCTATAAACATTGATGTGGCTGTGTCCCTGTAGATATGCTGTTTTTAAGTCCTTTAAAAGGAATAGCTGGGTCAAATGGAGGTTCCATTCCCAGTTTTCCAAGAAATCTCCATACTGCTTTCCATATTGGCTGCACCAATCTGCAGTCCCACCAGCAATGTATGTGTATGCCTTTTTCCCTATATCCTCGCCAACACTAATGAACAATTGATAAATTTGGCATCAATCTGGATGTAGGTGGGCCCACACTGACACATGAACAGGAAATTAATGAGGAATTTCTCTTTCCTTTTAATACAATGGAAATTTTATTGACTTTGTTTTTAGGGTCTGGTTTATTTTCTTTTAGCCTCTTACCTCAGAAGCCATGCATTTACTTCATGGTCACACATTTCTTTTGCTTCCAAATGTTGCCATGTGACTAGTCCTGTTGCTTTCTCCAAAATCTCAAGCCAAGCATGGTTACTTTAAATTCCACATTTAATGGAATTTGAATTTCCTTGGGGTCTATTTTTACTACTCTTACTGATTTATTTTAGTATGAGCAGTTATTTTATATTGAAAGTCAAATATTGTGCATGGAAAAATATCAGTTCAGGGTCTCAATGTTATTATCTTCAAAGATAATTTACTTCTGTCTCCTGCATGCAATAAGGGGAGAAGCAAATTATTTTGGGAATTGAGTTGATGCTAAGTTGGATTTCAGAGGCTTTTGAGAGCTCATCTATTTCTTTTTACTCTCATTTCCAGGGTTTATCTCTTTAGAGTTCTAACTAGAATTCTAGGGTGTTTTCCAATCTCTCCCTCTCCATAGCCCGCCTAATTTTTTCCCCGGTTCTCAAACCGTCTGTCTAAAGCTCTGCTCAAATACTCTACTTCTCAGCCAGCTTTTTAATTAGCAAATGTCCAAAGAGAACAACACACCAACCATTGGACTCACCCCTCGGTAGAGTTTGATCTGGTTTTTGTAAATCTCTGGGATTTAGTCCCTGCATTTTTTTTCTTCCTTAATATCTCTGATAACTTGAAACATATTTATTTATTATGCCCAGCTTTTCTACCCAGATTTTCTTGGCTAGGAGATTAGTCTGAAGTAGATCAGGCTATCAATATAGAAATTGGTTGCCATATCTTCAGGACACTTTATGAGATGTCTCTTGACATCTCATACTAATGCATTTTTAAAAAACACTTTTTCATCCAAATTCAAATTTAAACTGAGAACTTACAAATGTTAAAATTACTTAAAATATTAATGAAAGTGATAAGTTATAAAATCAGTATCAACCTCTCTTTACATTCTATTTACCATTGGTATTGCCATAATCATAATTTGAGTAGCAGAATGCTTCGAGTAAACTGAACAAGGACTTTGAGATTCTATCTTTATTCCTTTTAAGCTTGGCTCCTCCTAACAACTTTCTATATTACTGGGCTTTCTTCATTATCTCTTGGGGAAAAAATTAGTACTAATAAATATAAGTACTTCCAGTTTTGCAGGACATTTGAATGTTATATGGTACATGAAACAATTCATTATATAACTGGACAATGCATTGCAGGATGTTTAGCCTCTGTGACCAGTTGACCAGAAGCATCACCTTAATAATTTTTAAACAAAAATGCTTTCCCCAACTGGAAGAAATGATTTTTTTTTTGTACCAGGGATTGAACCCAGGAGCACTTAACCAATGAGCCACATCCCCAAGGATACAGGGTCTTGTTAAGTTGCTTAGGGCCTCACTAAGTTGTTGAGGCTGGCTTTGAACTCACAGTCTTCCTGCCTCAGCATCCAAAACTGCTGGGATTAAAGGTGGGTGCCATGGTTGAAAGAAAGGATTTTGACTGTTCTAATTACAAAGAGATGATAAATGTTTGAGGCCAAAGATATGCTTACCCTGATTTGCATATTATACTATGTAAACACATGCTGAAACAGCACATAGTAATCCATAAATATGCAGAATTATTATGTGCCTATTTAAAACATAAAAAATATTTTAAATGCAAACCAAAAATAAGTGCTTCCACAATTTTCCAAAATATACTTTGGGCCCCAGATTCACTTTGGGGGGGAATCTTTATCATATCTATAAAATTCAGAATTTTATAGATTATAAATTAATGAAGGGGCTGAGGTTGTGGCTCAGTGGTAGAGAGCTCGCCTACCATGTGTGAGGCCCTGGGTTCAATCCTTAGCACCACATAAAAATAAATAAATAAATAAAGGTATTGTGTCCATCTACAACTAAAAATATTTTTTTAAAGATAATTAATTAATGAAGATACTGCTAACCCAAAGTGTGTGTGGATCCCAAGTCATCTTTAAGGGGCCAAAGGGCAGTGTGAACTGGTTACATTATGTCTCCTGTTACCTCCCAAACCTGGATAACTCCTAAGGCCAACTTAAAATCCACTAAAACAAGTTAGTGTTAATATCCAAGACAAGATGAAGAAGTCAACAACAAATAGACTGACCTTTTTTCATGGGTTAGGATGGATGGGGTGCTCATAAGCTAGATGGACATTATCTTCAGTAATGACCACCTCTTGAGTGATCAACTACAAAGTACCAGGCAATGCATTGATATGATCCTATCACCTTAATCCTTTCAGTATCCCTACAAAAAGGTAATATCAGTCCCAATTTAGAGATAAACAAAAGGGGGTTTCAAATTAAAGGACTGCCCAGGATTTTTTTAAAAATATTAAGCATTTCTATGATTCCACTGCACTGTACCTGTTCCACTCAGAGCCACCAATCTTTTTAAAAAAAGACTCATGCTGGTCTCCATCTTCTCCACCCCACCTCACTTCACAATATCCCCAACCTCCTTCTCCATCCCCCGGAGGAAGGTAGGTGGGGCAACCTGATTGGAAGGGGCTGAAAATAGGTAAAGGGGCCTAAGATCGACCTAGGAAGGAACTAGATCTCAGCTCAACGCCCCTGGCACTCCCCTGCCCACTCTCCTACCCCAACCTCGAACTTCCTTCCATCCTTGAAGTTCAGACTTGGGGTACTGAACCCCCTCTCTACCTCTTCAGCAGTGCATTCCTCCTGGCGGTTTCCAAAGCCCTTTGCCACACCCCTTGCCCACTCAGCCCCTCCAGCTGGGCATCTAACAGACCTCCTACCCCTGGCCCAGCTGCTGAACTCACTGCCCTCTGGGTTCTCTGCCCAGAGGTGCAGACTCTCACCTCCTGCTCAGCACTGCCACTGGCTGGCAGCCAGGATCCTGCACCTCCTCCCAACCTCCCCAGCTGGGCCAGGCTAGTCCCTCTGTTCCCTTGACTACACAATACACAGTGCTACAGGAGCCCTGGGAGATGTGCTCCAGCAGAGCTGGTGAGGAGGCATGCCCAGGAGTCCAGAGCACAGGGAAGGAAAAGGCTGGTGAGGCTGGAAGGCTGGAGGGGAGGGAAGTACAGTGGCCCCTAGGGGGAGATTGGTCTGTTTTTTGTGAGAACTCCTTGGGGCCCAGGGCTCTGTTCTACTGTCTGAACTCTCCTCTCCTCCACAGCTTGCAGAGACCTGGTGCCTTCCCTAACCTGGAGTTTGTCTTTCTTGATTTTCAGAGAGGCCCAATAAAAACTCCTTTGGATCATGCCAACCCAGGAGGCTCTTTCCTCACTTCTATCCCCCAAACCGGATGGGGAACGACTTTCTCCCTCTTAGGGGATTTCCTGACACAGGGCCTGGAAGTTACATGACAGATGTGAGTATTCACTTTCCCTTTCAAGGAACTGTTTCCTGGATGTGGAAGGGAGACCCAAGTCCCCTGGAAAACAAACACTAGGCTTTGTGATCTTCTGGGTCAGAGCAAGAGAAAGTGCCTAGTGGGCAACCAGCTGTCCCAGCCAATACAGAGAGTAAAGGACCATGGTTCCACCCAAGGCAAGCAACCTTGTCTCCATATGGTCCCACTCCATCCCCACCTCAAAGGCTCTGAGCCAAGGCCAGCTCCTTCCCACTGGTCCTACCTTCAGACTGCCAGGTGCAACTGGAACAAGTTCAGACCTATGAGATTCAGAGGATGGAATTTATTAGAATACACAAAGATGTCATTTATTCTACCTGTCCAACCACATCCCTCTTTTAATCAGCTTTTTTCTTGCTGCTACCAAAAGACCTGATAAGAGCAATTTTAAGGAGGAAAAGTTTATTTCGGGGCTCATAGTTCAGAGGTCTCAGTCCATAGATGGCCAGCTTCATTCCTTGGGGCCTGAGAGGAGGCAGAACATCTGGTGGAAGAAAGCAGCTCAGAACATGAGGGTCAGGAAGCAGAGAGAAAGCTCTGCTCATAAGAACATAACATGAACCCCAAAGCACACCCCAGGGACCCACTTCCTCAAGGCACACCCTATCTGCCTAGAGTTGTCACCAAGTTAATCTCTATGCTGGGGAGGGGAATTTAAGCACTGATTAATCAGCTCAAGGCTCTTGGAACAAAATCATCTCACCTCTCAACTTTCCTGCATTGTCTCATACATGAGCTTTTGGGGGACATCTCACATCTAAACTATGACACAACCCCTTGCAAAATTACATGTATGATTTATGTGATTATTGTGTGGTATTGACCTTGAAGGAGTCAAGAGAGAAAAAGCAATGTCTTACAGAGTAGTTCATATGGAGGCTGTTCACTGTGGTATTGATGTTGTTCTTTACTCCTTCTCTCTTTTTATTCATATATTACTACTTGAAGTCCTATGGCTTGGCATACAACTTAACCAAGATTCCAACCAGTACAAAAGGATATACTCTTGGAGCCAGAACAGCTATGAGGTTTAAGCCAGTCAACAAGGTAAAATGCTGGGATTTTATGATGACCCATGTGACTGCATGAAATGTTTGGGCATTAGCTTTGCAGAAGTTGTGTGTATATTGGGAAGAGCAAAAACAGTTCACTGAGAAAACAGTCCCAACAAAGGATTTTAGTGCTGAGATGCATGAGGTCAAAATACTGGAAAATGCATTTATGTACCTCATATTATCTTGTCAGTTAAAGAAACAGGTTCTAATTTTTCTATCCTTTTGTGAGATTGGATTTTAAATCTAATCTTTAGTAAAGGATCCTAATCTCTTTCTCTCACTCTCTCCCTCCCTCTCCTTGTCTTTCTTTCTTTCTCTCATGAAGTGGGTGGGGATGGAACCCAGGGACTCACTAGGCAAGTACACCACCACTGAGCTACATCCTTGGACCAAGGATCCTAATCTCTGATTGGATGTTTACTTCCATGGAAACTCAAGGGACACTGGCTCTCAAAATTTCTCAGTGGGACCAGGGGCATAGTGACTGCAAAAGTTGTCTTGGTTCCCTGCTCAGCCTAGGTTTATTACTACAACCTATACATCCAGCATGACTGACTCACATCTATAGCTTGGTTTTCTATCCATATAAGCCTATTTGTATATCTTGAAATGGCTGAACCATGGCTGATTTATACATAGGAAAAGGACAGTTGAGAGTTTTTGAAATGGAAGCATTTCTGTGTAGGTGTGTCTCCCTTTAACACATTGAATTTTTTTCTTGGTAATAGGAATCGACACTTCACCCAGGCAAGTACCAGAGAGTAGAGAATTGGAAGGAAAAAACAAAGCAAAGTTTTGTTCCATTTAATGCCTTCATGCCTCGATTTCAGAGCTATTCAAAAGACAATTTCCCTGGGTATGTCTCCTCTTTTCTCTAGTATAGTTCATCAATAAGCAATAGGAAAAGAAGTCCATAAATTAGTGATTATAACAAAACCATCCCACTCAATAAGAAACCACCCAAATTTAAAGATTTAATCCTCTTATCTCCCAGGTCTCTGGCCTTTGTGTAATTGCAAAATCACAGTTATTCATCCAGTCAGTATTTATCAAGATGCCAAATAGTTTGGGTTTGTTTGTTTATTTTTGTCTGTTTTATTTTCCCAGTACTGGAGAATGAATCTCTGAGCCACATCTCCAGCCCCATTTACTTTTTTATTTTGAGACAGAATCTCACTAAGTCACCTAGGCTGACCCCAGACTCGAAGTCCTCCTTCCTCAGCCTCCTGAATCCCTGATAGGACAGATCTGTGCCATGACACCTGGCTATTTTGTAGTTTGTACTTTGTAGGTTGCAAAGTTCTTGCAGTAAACCCACCTCACGAGGCTCTGAGCTTGGAGTCTAGAGTCCAAATAGATGAGAAGTAAATACACAAGGAAATACCAATAGTAGTAAAGACGGTGACCATGTAATTTATCTGTCCATCTATGACACTTCTGAGAGTGAAAGAGAAGCAGCTATGAGCTAGGGCTGTTGTGGACAAACCAGGAAGTAGAGTGACCAGGAAAGGTGCTATGAGGAAACTTTAAACAGGACCATGATGTGAAAGTAGTGGGTGGTTAAGAAAGGATGCTCTGAGCACATCACACTTGATCTGATTTTTGAGTGACGAGATTGAGCCAGCCTGGGAAGACCTGGAGACAGCACACCCTGGGCAGAAGAGGTCGGAAGTGCAAAGGCTGTAAACTGGGAAAGAACTTGGTGTGAGGGAAAGAAGAAGAAGGCTAGTATGGCTAGAGGGCAGTGAGCAAGAAGGAAGAGAGAGAGGGAGGAGAGGACTTTGGGGGTCAAGGGGCTTATTCTTAGTGTGTTAGGAAACCACTTGGAATGTATGAAATTGCACAGCAAAGGGGCAGGGTCTGTCTTTTACTGATGAGAAGTCCAAAGATCATACAGTGAAAGTAACTTTTTCAAGTTTGTGTTAAGAAAGTTGAAGTGTTGAATCTTGACCCTCAGTCCACCACAGTAGAATTAACACCAAAAATAAAGTTTTTTTTTTAAATTTTGTATTTTTTCTTTTCAGTTATACATAACTGTAGAATATATTTTGACATATCATAGATACATGGAGCATAACTTCCCATTCTTGTGGTTGTGCATGATATGGAGTTACAAAAGTTCATTCTTCTTGATGGCTGAGTAATATTACATATTATATATACCAGATTTTCTTTATCCATTCATCCGGTGAAGGGCATCTAGGTTGGTTCTATAGCTTAGCTATTGTGAATTGAGCTGCTATAAACATTGATGAGTCCATGTCACTACATTATGCTGATTTTAAGTCTTCGAAGTATATGCCATGAGTGGGACAACTGGGTCAAATGGTGATTCCATTTGAAGTTTTCTGAGAAATCTCCATACTGCTTTCCAACTTTCAATGCCACCAGCAATGTATGAGTGTACCCTTCCCCCCACATCCTCGCCAATATTTATTATTGCTTGTATTCTTGATAATTGCCATTCTGACTAGATTGAGAAGAAATCTCAGTGTAATTTTCAAAAGACAAAGATTGAGGAACCAAGGCAATTCTAAAATAATCCATGGCCAAGAAATTTAATTGGTTCCACTTTCATGTCCCTACATTGCAGATAGATTGTTTCAGGATTTTAACCACCAACTTCAAATGAAAGAACTAATACCATTATCATGGATCTCTTCTAGCAACACCTCTTCTGAGATCTTCTCGTGTCCTGGCTCAGAACACTGAATTGTAGAAATACTTTTTAAAAGCAGCTTTTACCTTAGCTAATAAGAAATACATTAACAAGCAAAATCACCCCACTCTTGCCCAGTGTTAAAAAGTTAATCAGTCCATTGCCTTCTCCCAAGAGGTTAAACCTACTTCAGTGATGGCCTTGCTACCTACTAGTGGAGTTCGTCCTATGCCACTGACTCATTCGACATGGTTTGTATTTTTTTTTTTTTTTTATTTCTAGCCCTGGTGCATACAACCCAGAGAAGAAACCACTTCCAAAAGTTACTTGGCCAATGAAATTTGGATCTCCAGATTGGGCTCAGGTTCCAAGTCTACAGAAAAGAACTCTAAAAGCTGAGGTATTAAGATTGGATTTCTGTAGATCACTCTGTCTAATATGTTCATATATAGCAAGGGTCAATAACCAGAAGCTTGTAAATGAAGTTCATGATCCCCTGAAATTATATGCACAGTTTTGTGTGCATAGAAATATGAGGATCCTTTTGAGAGAGTTACATAGTTTCATTAGATTTTTAACAGTGTATAGGACTGATTTAAAGTCATGTCATCTTATTTGTTCCTCAAGTAATCTTTTGCAGTAGATTCAGGAGAAATATCCCTTTAAGACAATGGATGATACTGGAACCAGGAAGATTGATTCATACAAGTTCTACAACTGGAATACAGATGTTTTGACTCCTGATGCAGTGCTCTTTCTGACATAAAGTTGAGTGTTAAATGATTGGAGGGCTATAGAGCACTCTGGTTAAGAGCACAGACTCTGGGGATAATACTGCCTGAGTTCAAATACCAGCTCCTGTGTAGACTAGCTATGTGATCTTAGGCAAGTCCTTTAACTTTTCTAAGCATCTGTTTTCTTACCTTTAAAATGAAATAATAACAGAGTTGATCTGATATGGTTGTAAAGATTAATAATGGAGACAATGTAGAAAAGCATTTAACTCAGTAATGATAACATATGCTTCTGTCCATGTTAGCTATCATACTTCTTGAAGTACCCTTCCTTCCTAGTGGAATTTAGGATTAATTCTGCAAATATTTATATTTGTGGAATTAATATAATTGTGCTAAGGCATATAGGTAACATTAATAATTAATATAACATATTAATATAATTGTGCTAAGGCATACAGGTAACATTCAAGAATTAGACATATAATCTGTGTCTTCAAGAAGCCAAACAACTTTTTTTTTATCATAGTAACATTATAAATGGTTGATGTGCACAAATGTTGAGGAAATGACTAAGGCTGGATTACTAGAAACTGGGGTTTACCTGGGCCACACAGCTAGAATGCGTGCTTCTATTTTGCATGCAAGGTCCTGGGTTTAATCCCCAGTGCCACACACACAAAGGAAGGCAGAGGATTCTCATTAGAACATTGTTTTTCATTGCAGCTGTCCACAGACAAAGAATTTAGAAAGCATCGGAACCGAGTTGCTTACTTAAGCCTGTTTTACGATTGAGAAGTGATCACTTCCTTCACATGCTTCTCCTGATCACAGACTCTTCAGCATAGAGGACAGAGCTGCTCTTGGTCTCATCACCACGGCCCTCATGTCTTTCAGCCCCGGGCCCAGAATGTGTTAAGACTGAGATTTGTGAGCATAAAACCTGGTTCCAAGTGTTCTTTCTCCTGCTGCTGGTTTTTGATCTGGGGGTTCCTGGTGGGTGTTCAGGTGGATGGTTTCATTTGAGTGAAAGACTCTTGGGCCCTTGCCCTTTATTCACAATTCCCAGGACCAGCCTTATATGTTCTACAACTAACTCTGGTAATATGTAGCTGCTGGCCTACATGTATCAAGAGCTTGGATGGGATGTGGGCTTGCTAGACATGGAGGATGCTTAAATGTGGGTTACATCATTCCTGATTTAGGAGCTCTTCCAAGCTTTAGTGTGGAGTAGGAAGACCCTGAGTAGGTTGCCTTTCCCAGACTAAGATAAAACACAGAGAACCAAAAATTCCCCCCTCCCACTACATCATCTATTTAACCTGCTATTCAACAGATATATTGAGGTCATGATTCCATGTCAGTCAGTGGTAGGCACTAGAACATATTGGGATTCAACTTACACTAATCTACTAGTACCTTGAGGCTGGCCAGAAGTCTGAGACATCCCCAGGTTGACTGCCCTTCAGTCTGGACAAGGACCTCTGGAGCCTAATAGCTAGCCCAAGGGTATAAAGATCACAAAGCAGCAGCCATGTGTAAAGTACTTACCCTCACACCCTGGTCTGGTAGGTAGCCTTCTTAATCTTCAACATTAACTCTCCAGACTGTAATTTATTCATGATTGTCATTAAGTGTAGTCTACTTTATCTTTTATTTTTCCCCAGTGGGAGATACTGGGGATTGAACCCGTGGACACTTTACCAGTGAGCTACATCCCCTATCCTTTTTGTGTTTATTTTGAGACAAGTTCTCACAAAGTTGCTGATGTTGGCCTTGAATTTACAATCTTCCTGCCTCAGCCCTCCCAAGTCACTGGGATTGCAGATGTGTGCCACCACACCCAGCTGTCTAGCTTAGTTTTTAATGAGTGGGTCCTTTTGTATCACTTACCTGTTAGTAATTATCCCCAAAACTCTGAAAGGGTCTGAATTTCAAAGAGTGAGAAGCTGATAGTGGCCACAGGAAAGTCCCAGCCCACTACAACCCTGAGAGCCACCCCACACAAGGGTTAGCTGGGGACAAGGATAGACAGAAACTTCCTGGTGAATGACCTTGGAGAAGCCAAATTCCAGAACAGCCATGGTCTTCTGAAATCACAAAGGGTGAGGGTCAGAAATGTCTCTATAGGAAACCAAGTTGGAATGTTAAGGATACCTGATGCTTAGAACTTACCCAGTACTTAGACATCTTTTAATCTGATGATTGAATGGTTTCTGTTAACCTGTGGAGAAGAGTTGATGACTTGAGAGTCAGGATGAACTCTTACTGTTAGGGTCCAGCGAAACCTAAGAGACCACAAGAGACTGTCTTATGCAACAGCAGAAGGGTGGGTTTATTTGGAGACCAGCATGCTGGGGCCCGAGCTCTCTATAGCAAAGAGAGATAGAGCCCTGAGAACAGCTTGAGCAGAGCTTATATACTTTCCCTGGAGAGGGCAGGGAGAGAAGTTACATTTTGTAGTTCGGCAGTTGGGGACAGCTCATTCTGGGAACAAGATTAGCAAACAGTTCTTAAGATTTCAACAGTGTTTTGTTAAGCATATAGAGAAACGGAGTGACAAGTACCTATTTTATTAACCTTTCATTACCACCCCTCCCACATGCTTCCCTCCTTTTCTCCTGTGGATCCATATATTTACATGCAGGTGGATTCAGAGACAATAATTTAGCACTTGTCATTGTTTCTGATCCAAGATCTTTTTCCCTTCTTAGGAATTTATTGACAACAGGATGGAACATCTTTCCCACTGCTTGGTCCATAGGCTCAAAGCTTTTCCCAGGGAAGGAAACTCTCTTTCCTAAAATAATAATCTGGGGCTGGGGGTGTAGTTCAGTGGTAGAGCACTTGCCTAGCATGGCAAGGCCCTGGGATCAATCCCCAGCACCCCCGAACACACATATACGAAGAAAGAAAGAAAGTAAAAATCACATCCTGTTAAATAATAAAATAGTAATCTGACTTGATCAAAAATAAATTGTAATAGAACCTCAATTAATATTCAGGGTCTCCAAAAATGCTAAACTGTTAACAAGTGGCACAAATACTTAAAAAAAAATATCATGAGACCTAGAAGTGTAGCTTAGTAGGAGAGTGCTTACCTAGCATGTGCAAGTGTGAGGATCTCCAGGACCCCAAAAGGAAATAAATAAATAAATAAAACCAGTACCAAAGACAAAATGTAGTGGGCCATATGTATTTTACATCTGGATTTGTTCAAGAGGCTTACAAGATTTTGGGGGGTTCATTTAGTAAAAACATAGTGCTTAGTGAGGTAGGGTTTCCAACAGAGAGATTGATATAACATAGAGACTGCATGAAATCCTGGAGGATGTAGCTTGACATGCAGCACCAGAGAATCTGTGACAATGTGGAATTTAATGGCCAATTGCAGCAGGATTATAACCATGCACATGTACTAGGAGAGATTCACACTCAGCAAAAATTTGAAAATCGATATAAATCACATTAAAGTCTTCCAGTGTGTTTCATGTGCTCTGTGACATTTTAAACAGCATATTATTAAATAATAAATTATATTTAATCATATTTTTATGGCTTGAGGAAAAAGTAAGTAATAATGAGGTTAGTCTGCCCTTCCTCTGTGCACATTTAAAAGCTCAAACCGCAGGTCTTGTCCCTGCGGAATGCAGGCGTCAGAGCCAGAAGTGTAATTTATTCAGTCTTTGTACCTCATAGTGTGGTCCTCAGCGTTGTCCTGGCCAAGCCACTTAGTGCCTTCGTCAGCGTGGGGGACTTTTTGTCTTCCATCCAGGCATTTGTGTTCCACTTCAGAATGTGTGGCTCCGTAGGTGTGGGGTGAAGAAGGGAAAGAGCACGTCACCGACCAATATCACATTGGAAGAGAAAGAACTGAAATGGGCGGAAAACTAGGAAGAAATGGGAAGGAGATGGAGAAGAGGACATCATGGAAACGACATTAATCTCATATGTTCTTTAGAGAAAATCTTGTCTCATAAAGTGAAGAGACAAATTTATGAGACAAGACAAATTTACAAATTGATGTCAGGCTACAGACGCGTGCCATTCTGGCTAACCTGTACCCAGAGGTTATTTGGGGAAAACAGTGCACTCAGATGCGCCCAGGTGGTTCTTCCCTCTTGGGGCTTTGGCAAACACTGCTTGCCAGTCATTCTGCTTTCAGCACAGGATTCAAGTAAGCACAATCAATTCAAGTTGGAAGGGAGATCAGATTATTTGAAATTCTTCTCTAGCTATTTATGAGAGCAGAACAGAATTTAGTATTACTTTGGGGTTATGGAAAAGATGGTGTTTTAAAACCTGAAAGGGAAATGCAGATCATTTTTTATTTCCTAAGTAAATATTCTATAGACATCAATCTGCTTATGCTCCCAGCAATGAGAAACCAGGGTTTAGGGACTCCAGAGAAGAGTAGCACAGTGACTTAGAGCATGAAAGAATCTCCCCTGGGGATATAGCTCAGTTGTAGAGTACCTACCTCACATGTACAAGGACCTGGGTTTGATCCCCAGCACCAAAAAAAAAAAAAAAAAAAAAAAAAAAGAATTTCCCCTGATGCATTTTAAGCCCCATTAGTTAATTTATGGTAAGCCTAGGAGTTGCCTCCCACATGAAAGGGCCAGATAAGTCTGCTTCAGAGACTGGGCACCAGCTGAGGGGTTAGAAGCACTTAGCTGGAAGACTCTCCACAGGTGGGAAACCTTTAACCAACCTTTCTGCAGGGACCCCCTTGTCTTTCCAGTGGTCCGTGGCACATTCCTGGGGAAGGCAACACACCTTTGTTCATCAACAGTGTCTGATGCATTTGATGACCAAAGTCTAGCAATTGTCCCCCCAAAGAAAGCCTTAATCCATAAGCAAGACTCTCACCAAACTCTACCATCTCCCCTCCCCTCAAGGCTTTCCTTTCTTACATGATTGAACTAATGCATGTCACCTTGATCTGTGAATCCTATGTGTGGTCAGCACAGGATTCAAGTAAACACTATTCAGGTTGGAAGGGAGATCTAATTATCTGAAATCCTAGACTTTTTAATTCCTTCTCTAGATATTATAAGAGTGTAATAGAATTTACTATTGCTTTGGGGCTATGTGCAGAGGACTGGTGTGTCCCGTGGATGTGTCCCAGATACCAAGGTAGTTACAGGTGACATGCTAGTGAAGTTGAGGAGCCCAGAACAAGAGCCAACAGAATCACCAGGGCATTTCCTCATGGATGACTAAGGAGTAAGATATGATAATGGTGGGAAATTCATGATGCCAAGTAGAGCCATGTGGTCCTGTTTCCTGGAGAAAAAGACTAACTGTGGGTTGTTAGAGCATGGGGGTCTCAGAAACAGAGATCTGTAGGACCACAGGAATCAGATGAGTAGTTCTGCTGTTTTGTCAATAATAGTTTCTATGATCATACAGCTTTTTTTTTCAAAATAAATTGATAATAATGAGATTGCCATTATAAGTATTTTCTATGGTCTTGAGTCTCATTCCTCCCCACAGTGACCATAGTCTCACCATAGTGACAATTTAAAGGGACCATAACCTTATGCCAGGGCCACCAAGTTCCCAAACCTCTTTGTCATTGAAGGTTAACTTCCCTAATGTTATATCCACTTAACTATTTGGGATGCTCTCCACCACATAGTCTAGGAATCTCTGCTCTAGGACTTGGAGATTCCAAGAGACCCAGTGCACTCCCCAGAGTCTGCAGTTTCATGGGCTGTAGTGCTCCCTCTGCTGGCAGATGCTATGAGAAGCATCCTGGGGTGTCCTATTTTTTAGCTGCTTCTTCAAACCCCTCCAGCATTTCCTGGTAGATTCCAGTGGCTGTCTTCATTGTCTGTTTCCTATAGTAAGTAACTTTTGTGCTATTTTCAGCACCCAGCAATCCTCCCTATTTTATAAAAATACCCCCCGGTATACAAATATTACAGGTTTTGATAAAGCATAACTTGGAAC